AAGGTTCAAAATGTCGGTCGCCAAGATAAGAAACGGACGCAACATTCTGATGAAAATGTTTGCAACATCGGAGAAACAAGATATGAGAAAATTACGTGGCAGAACTTCGCCGTTCTTATTCTCGGAACGTGAAATCCACTGCACGCCCGAAAAGCTATCGACGACCTTGGACAAACGACTGCAGAAGACTGGCATTTAACAGCACAGAGTTCGTAACGATGTCAGGCGTCTCCATAGCAACTGCGACTCATTCACGAGATACAGGCGTCACACCACAGGGAGAACAAACCAAATTACTGCAAGTCGGCTTCAGAGGCTTGTTCCTGACGTTGCATTTGTGCGTCATTCAAGTCACCCACTCCCAGGTCCTATGAGCTTATGAACTTCCTCGCAATGTTCATGAGGGCATTACGACACACGAATGACTGGCAAGTGCCTGGGCCTATTTAGAGATCCAGTCCGTACCGCGAAGAAAACACAAAACTCCACCATTACGAAGATCAACCGGACAACGCCGTTTAAGTTACCATAATTTCGTCGGGACATTTGCTTTTGAGATATCTTCGACGTCATAGAAAATAATGCGTACAAGTACTGACCTGTGTCGCCGTCTGGTGGCAGGGACGTCACAACAGCGTCGCTGACATCTGTCGCTGACTCGGGTCCTGAAATCACAAGTCAGCAGTCAGCACGACGCAGTCTCGTCCTCCTTTGACTCTTGTGGACTTTACAAATTATGAAGCTCCTCGTTACGTGGTTTTCTCAGTCAGTCCACTGACGCCTGGCGTCAGTACTCACCAGGATCCAGACCGATCCATAAGTATTGCCAACAAACGGGGAAGAAAAATCAGCTTCCTGGATCAACGCACGTTCGCCCAGTGCTGCCAACGCTGAGACGCATTACCACTTGCACACGTCTGCCAATTACGTCAAAACGTGTCGTGTTTGAACAAGTGCAAGTGTTCCGTCAGAAACAATGATCGGTAAACAAGCACAGACACGCACGTGTGTCAACACCTGCAGACGGGGCCAACAGATCTCCTCTCTACTTTCAGACCCAAGGCATCCGGAGCGTCTGCCATCCAAATGAACGTGGTCTCTTACGTTAAGGGACGAACACAGGCTGAGGGAGGATAAAACCTCGCAATGAGGAGCTTCATAATTCGTGACGTTCCCAAATATTATTAGAATCAGCCGGGAGAGGTTAATATCCCGGAGTAATGCCTGGAGGATATGAATTGGATTCATCTGGCTGAGGGCAGGGACCGCTGTGAACACGGTAAAGAAACTTAACTAGCTGAGGGACCATCCGCTTCTCAAGAAGGACTCTCTCTGTACCATGGAGTTCAGCGTTCTGGTCCGGTCCTGTGTTGACCTGGAGGTACCGTATTCCGGCAAACAGAAGCACTGAACCAACCACTCCTACTTTGACTCGCCCGCTGTGTGACAAATTCGCCGCTACCTCTCACGACTCCTGACACCTCCAGACGATCGGTCAACCGTGACTCAACCTTAAGCTAACAACAGCAGAAGAAAATCGGTTCTCAGAAACCAACAACGTCGCCGAAGACAACGCACGAGCCGGACCGTAATCAAATCGCACGACACCTTACTGATCCCTTCCCTTCTCGCAGTCTGCGAGAAGGATCTC